GCTTCTGCCAGGCCTAAGAAGACGTCCCGAAACAGCAACCAGAAAAGGACCAGCGCTACTGGTCAAGAACAATCGGACCCTGCTTTGCCCCCCCCCCCCAGGCTGGAACTCACACCCACCCAAGGACACGTGTGGGGAGGCCCCAACTCCTCAGCACCCACGGCCAATGGGTGCTGGCCGTCAAGCCCCACACACACAAGCACGTCTGGCTGCCATGGGCGCCGCGCACTCAGCAGTGGCCATGATCACAGTTTCCACCTCAAAAGCAGGACTTCAGTCCTTCTGAGAACAACACCGGCTGAAATGGCTTCACTGCGGCAGGCATCTCGGGCTCTGCCCTGAAAAACTGCCCCCCCCCCCCCCCCTTCCCCCCCTCGCAGTGGCCATGATCACAGTTTCCACCTCAAAAGCAGGACTTCAGTCCTTCTGAGAACAACACCGGCTGAAATGGCTTCACTGCGGCAGGCATCTCGGGCTCTGCCATGCAAAACTGCCCCCCCCCCCGCCTCTAAGCCTCTTACCGGCACGAAAGCCGGGAATTGAGGCTCCCCGTCTAAGTCTCCCTTTGAATCAAACGGCCCCAGCTGCGATGTGCCCCGTGATGGGGATTAGCAAGGCCACCGGAATATCGGAGTGCTGAAGCGTTAAAGTAAAAGCTGGAAGTAAAGCGTATACGACTAACTGTGAGTTGGAGAGCAATTTAAAAGCGGGGCTTGAACGTGCTTCGCTCCCCGGAGAGCGGAGGGAGGAGGGAGGATTCCCCACCCAACACAGAAAAGAGACTTATTTTTAAAAAGTGGAGAAAGGGGGCGAAGCAAAAATCCGAGTAAGCGCGTTTTCGATTAAGCGCGTTACCTTTTGGAAGCAGGCTGAGAGCGAGCTAGAAGGAGCCATCCTCGGGTGGTGCAGCACGAACTTTCAAAGTATAAACAAAGTTGAAAAATGGCGATGCAGAAAGAGAGAGATAGAAAGGCTTTGGAGAAGCAGAAGAAGGCAGGAGGAACTTCCTGCCCGAGTCCCTCCTCCTCTGGAACTGCTGTCAATCAACAGGAAAGTTAGCGTGCGCGCCATCTGCTGGCTGAACTGCAGAAAATCAATTTAAAACTTGATAATATGGAGGGGGCCTTTAACATCCAACAGAAAAAAATGAATGAGACTGCTGACAAGGTAGATGACATCACTAAAACGTGTCTGGCATCGACAGAAGAGATACAGAGTGTTAAGAAGAAAGTTGTTAAGGTGGAAAAACAACAGATGAAGCAGGAAAATAAATTATTATTGCTTCAAATAGAAAAGTCAAACTTGATTCTCCGATTCCAAGGGTTGAAAGAAGAAGACCCAGAGGACCTCAGAGACATTTTGGCAACAGCGTTGGCACCACTGATTGGCAGCGAAGCGGAAAACATAAAAGAAGAGATGGATTTGGCCTATAGAGCCTACTCCAACTTCACGAAGAAGAACAAGCTGCCAGCAGAAGTGGTGGTGAAATTCACCAAGCAACGTCTCCGGGATCAAATATTAAAAGCAGTATCAGCAACACCCTTGAAAATTGGAGAACAATCAATCTGAGTTTTGAAAGATATTCCATTTGAAATCAGAATGAAGCGAAAAGAATATAAAGGACTGACTTTGTTCTTACAAAAACGTCAAATTAGCTACAGGTGGTTAACGCCAGAAGGACTGGTCTGTAAATTCAAAGACAGAAGAGAAAAGATTGACTCTATCTTGAAGGCAAAAGAATTTTTGAAGAGGCACGCCAACACAGAAGAGGAAGCAGAACTCGCCGAGTGGATGTCAGGGAAAAGCGACGAAAGCAGCAGCTCAGAAGGGGAGGTGAAAGAAGAGGAAGAAAAAGGAGCAGCCGGAGGACTAAAATATAACTTACGAGAGAAAAAAGAAAAACATCTCAAAAAATAAAGACTTATCTGGATGTGCTAAAGAAGATATACTAACTCCAAAAGGACTTTACTAACATATTAACTGCCAGATTTGAAAAGATTAAGAAGAAATGGACGCTTATCCAACTACAGAAGAAGTCATAAACTTTGAGCTGGACTTTAACTTTAATACTAACAGATTAACATACCAATATTAACAGCACTCAACACTTTTCTTTGTCCCTCTATATACCCCCCCTATTTTTCTCTATAAGCGAAACTTCTCTCCTTTTTAGGAGAGGGAAATAAAAGTATTTACATTAAAAAAAAGAATACTTTTGCAGAATAAGCCAATGTAGTTATTTTACATAATTTTAGAAATCAAATTTTATTTATTTGAAACATTTTTATGCTGCCTTTCCCATCCGAGGTGGCAAACATTAAAGGTCTCCGAGGTGGCAAACATTAAAGCATTCCAAACATTAAAACAGCATTTAAAATACAAACATATCTCCAATATTTAAAACAAATAAAAACACTTAAATGCAGAAACAGCAAGAAAAGATAATAAGGTTCAGTGAGAGTGTGGTGGAACAGGCCTGCCCTGACCTGCAGACCCTGCTCTGCCCACCTCTCCTTGGCACTGCCAACTCCTGGAGGGGGTGTGTGTGACTCCACTAGGGTGACTCGCTGCCACCACCTGGGTCACCATAGGGATTTCCCACGGCAGGGTCCAGAACCGTCAGCCCCCCTCCCAAGCTCAGAGGCGGGCCTCAGTGTCCCCCACCGCCCAGAGACTGGCTGCCACTAGGGCCAATGACAGCTTTGGGGCTCCCCTGGAGAAACAGCCCACGTGTGCACACTGACTGCCTTCCTCCCAGCCCGGGGGCCCTTCTTGCAGTAGTGTGCCCAAGACAGGGGGATGGACGGGGGACTAGGTGGGTACAGAGACTGAGAGCCAGCCTCCAAAGTCGGAAAAGATTTGTTGAAAAGAAAATATCTACAAGCATCCTTAAGCACAGCACTAGATCAGCAAATGGATTTCAAAAGAAAATTGATCATAAATACAATCCTCTTTCTATTTTCTAGACACACCCTAACTGATGTGAAAATAGGGCGATGGTCTTAAAAAGTTACTCCCCATCTACACACCATGACTCGGGAGACCACGTGGTCAGCAAGAGGCGGCTGCCACGACCAGCCATCGCTCAGAGGTCGGTACCCTCCAAAGAAGTGGCGCTAATGGAGAACCAACCCTAACCATGACAATCGGGTGGGACCTCCTTGCCAGACAGCATTCAAGCCTTTAAGGTGCTCCTGGCCCAGTATTCAGTGACCGTAGTAACAGGCAGCCATACCCTAGAAGAGGAGTGTCTCTGAGGAGGCCAGCTCTCTGGGGGGGGGGGGGGGGGGGGGGGGGGAATGGCTCAGGTTACGGTAGGAGCGTCTCAAGAGGAGGAAGGGTGCAGTTTCATCCAGATGCAGCAGGATGCTGTAGGTTTTCCTGGTGAGGAAGAAAATGTGCCTGGCTTCAGTGATGTGCATGCTGAAGAGACAGAGGTAGAGGGTGAAGATTCCACGGGAGCTTCTGAGAGCAGCAAGGCTAGTGTTGGCTCAGAGGAGCAAAGAGCTGAAGGCTTCGGGGGGGGGGGGGGTCTGGAGGAGGTCCAGAGTGACCCTGGGTTGGAGCCAGTTCACCAGGGAGCCGTGGGTCAGGGAGTGGGATCTTCCGAGACTCTCTCGGAGCAAGTCGTTTGGAAGCAGCCGGGCAGACAGGAGTCCCGGGAAGCAGACAGACAGCTTGTGGTTCCTCAGAAGGTGGCGGCACAGGACAGCTCAGGTGCAGGCCAAGGCCTCTACCGGGTTCCCACAGGCCCAACTTAGCCCTGGAGGTGAGAGAATGTGGAGAGTCTGGTGTGACCGGCCAGAGCATGTGGGCAAGGGGGGCTGCAAAGGATGGTGAGTGTTGTGAGAGAGACTCTGGCTAAGTCCAGAGCCAGTCAGAGCAGCTGGCTTGATGAAACAGTCAGGGCTCTGACTTTTGAGCCTGGTGACCAGGTGAGGGGGTTTTCGGCCTTCGCGCACCGGCATGCCCCTAGCTGCTCGGGAGAGGCCGGCCTCGTGTGCTTGTGGACTGGATAGGCAGTGTCAGTTGTGCTGTCTCTATGGAAGGGTCAGGGGAAAGGACCAAGGATGTTAATGTGAATGACGGGGAAATGCTAGTTCTGAGTGTGGCAGAGAAGGAAGGAGGAGGCGCAGAGCCAGGTGGAAGCGCAGTAGTTGTCTTGGCTCCGTGTTCTGCAAGGGGAGCTGAAAAGGCTCGCAAGCTGGTCAGTTCAGGGCAGAGAGAAAATCTTTTCAGGTGTACATCAGTGGGAGGTGGGTTTCAGGAGGGAACCAGGGGAAGTGGATTTGGTGAGGTCTGGGACAGATGCAGAGTCTCTCCTGCCTGTCAGGGCCCCCCCCCCCCCCCCTTACAGAGCAGATACTGAGGAGGGCTTTTGGCAGCAGGAACTGGAGGAAGAAGCTGGAGTTAAATCTGCCTTCATCCCTCCTGCGGGTCTGCAGGAGGTTACTGGGTGGCATGTTGGATTTAGAAACAGAGGTGTGTTGTTTCAGAAGCTGGGAAGTGACTTGTGGAGCGGCAGGGTCAGGATTTGCAGTTGCATGCACGGACTCTATCGGGGTTTCTTGCAGGGACTTGGGTTTGTACTTGGAGCAGTTAGCAAGGGTGCTAAATGCCATCCAGGGGCCAGTTCTCACCTCCAAGCTGGAAGAAGAGCTGTTTGCAACGCCAGAGGTGGTGTTCTGGGAAGACAGAGCAGGCAGAGGAAGAATTCCCCCCACCACTGGGGGGGGGGAGAAGACAGAGGGCCAAGAGGCAGGGGGGGGGGGCTTCTCTGCGTTTGGCAATTCTCTGGGCACTGGAAAAACGCAGGCCTTGGTGGTGGGGGCAAGAATTCACCCTCTCGACAGACCACTCATCCCTACAATGTCTGCGAACGATGAAGAACTCAAGCACCAAACTGCAGAGGTGGTTGTGGAAGAGTCAGGAGTTCAACATAAAGACTGAACCTCTTGCTGGATGCAACAAAGTGGTTGCAGATTTCCTTTCCAGGAAGGACGCAGACTAATAGGTTGTAAATGGGAGCCTCATACTTTTAAAAGATCTTTACTGCCTGCCCTATTTTAACATCAGTTAGGGTATGTCTAGAAACAGGAAAAACTGCGTTTATGACCATTTTTCTTTTGGAATCTGTTTGCTGATCTAGGGCTTGTAAATATTTTCTTTTCAATAAATCTTTTTTGACTTTGGAGGTTGGTTCTCCGTCTCTGTACCACCTAGCTCCCCCCACCGTTCGGATATGCTAATGCAAGAGGGGCCCCCGGGTTGGGAGGAAGCATTCTGTGTGCATGTGGCTATTTCTCCAGGGGACCCCAATGTTGTACCTGGTCCCCATGGTAACCAGCCTCTGGTTAGTGGGAAACACTGAGGCCAGGCCTCAGAACCAGGAAGGGGAACTGGAATTCCTCTTGATCCCAGTAGGAAATCCCTAAAATGGACAGGTGGTGGCAGAAGAAGAAGAAGAAGAAGAAGAAGAAGGAGAAGAAGAAGGAGAAGGAGGAGAAGGAGGAGAAGAGAAGAGACAGAAGGAGAAGAAGAAGGAGAAGGAGGAGAAGGAGGAGAAGAGAAGAGACAGAGGAGGAGATTGGATTCAGTCCCCACATGGCCCTTCCCTACCCAAGGGAGCCTCAGAGCGGCTTACAAACTCCTTTCCCTCCCCCCTCCCCACAACAGACACACCCTGTGAGGTCGGTGGGGCTGAGAGAGCTCTTGACAGAAACTGCTCTTTCTTAAGTGGAGGAGGAGTGGGGAATCAAACCTGGTTCTCCCAGATTAGAGTCCGCGCACTTAACCACTAAGAAGAGGAGGAGCTTGGATTTATACCCCTGGGGCCCCTTCACTACCCAAGGGAGTCTCAGAGCGGCTGACAGACTCCTTCCCCTCCCCCTCCCCACAACAGACAGACACCCTGTGAGGTGTAGGTGGGGCTGAGAGAGCTCTGACAGAAACGGCTCTTTCTCAAGAACAGCTCTTGTCAGAACTACGGCTTGCCCAAGGCCATCCAGCCGGGTGCGAGTGGAGGGGTTCTCCCAGATTAGAGTCCGCCTGCACTTAACCACGACACGAAACTGGCTTCCCTCGAGTGGAGGGAAGCGGCAAACCCCTCCGCTGCTCACTGCTGTGGCACGCTCTCTGGGTCGACACTTTCCTTGAGCCATCTGTTACGGCCCCAAGAGCTTTCCCCCTCTCAGCCTCCACAAGTCCAGGACCCCGTTCGCCTGTACCTCAAACTGGGTCCGGCGGCGGGACCTCCGAGCAGGGCTGCCAGCTCCCGGTTGCGGGATATCCGGAGGTTGGGGGGAGGGGGGGTGGAGCCTGAGGGGCCGCCACACAGCCCCCACCTGCCCAGGTGGCCATTTTCCAGGGGGGGGGGCGGGGGGGGGGCACACAGGCCGCTCTCCGTTGCTTGGAGGTCAGCTGTAATCCCAGGAGATCTCCAGCCGCCCCCTTGTCCCAGCTGGGAAACCGCCCCTCCTGGGGAGCGCGGCCCCACCCTCCAGAGCAGAGGAGAGACCCCACTCCCTGGGCCAAGCCTCCCCCCCCACCAGCACCTCCGCTTTGAACAGCGTCATCAGGAAGGGAGGTTTCAAAGGCAAAATACGCGACCAGGATGCTGAGCACCGGCCCTTGTGGAGGAAAATGCCCCCCCCCACCCCCTCACAACCCATCTCCACGTTTCACAACTGTCGCTGTGACTGTTCCTCTGCCTACGGACAGGAGCCCTGCTGCGGAGTGAGCTGAGGGAAGCGGGTGGGGGTGGGGGTTGGAGACGGTGAACAGTCAGGCTCCCAGCAGAGACCCCTCAAGCTCTTCGTTCCCCCGCCTCCTGTTCACAAGTCACACCTAGAGTCCATCAGGCCGGGTAAACTGGGACACACCGGGACCGTGGGAGGGAGGGAGGGAGGAAGGAAGGGAGGCTTATATAAACGCAGGGCTTGGAGAAGAGGGGTCTCTCCCACCTGCAGTCATCACTATCAGCCCAGTCCCATATTCCATGCTGCCTTTCTCCTTGCTGCCATTCTGTCCTCACGACCGCCGGGGGGGGGGGGGGGGGGGGGAGAGACGGGCCCTGTGGCCACCCGGCTGGCCTCCATGGCGGAGGAGGGATTCCCACCCAGGCCTCCCAGGTGCTTGTCGAACACTCGAACCACGAGGTGCCACACACACACACACACGCACACGCACACCCCGCTCTCTCGTGCACCCGGCCAACGCTAGGCGCTATCTGTCGTGGAGCGTTGCGTGAAGGGAGGCGTATGAGGGCAGCACGGTGGACACCACAGTCACGGAGACTCAGCGTTCGAAGCCAGGGACCTTCTAACGACCAGATGCCAGAGGCAAAGAGGGTTTTGAGGAGGCGGCAGCTGGCAGGCAGGCAGGCAGGAGGCACCTCTGCTAACAAAGCCCCCCCCCCGGTTCAAGGAGCCCCCAGCAAAGCGGGGCGGGGGGGGGCTGTCACCTCACCTTTTTGGCCTCCAGCATCTTGCTCTCAAAGACGTAAGTGATGCAGTTCCTCACTACCTCCAGCCGACGGGCACTGTTGGCCAAGACGACGCCATTGCGCTCCGTGATGGCACCTGGTAAGTATGGGGCGACGGGGTGGGGGAGGAGAATGCCAGTCACTACCCACACAGCCCCTTCCCTCTCCCGCTGACCCACACGGGACATTCCCTGGAGCAGGAAGGAAGGGGAACGCCGCTGCTCCCTGTGACACAGAGCCCTGCCGGGAGGGGATCTTCTCCACCACACCCGGGCTGCTGCTGGGCAGCGACTCCGGTCTGGACCTTCTCATCCCACCCTCCCTCCAAGGTAGACTCAGGGGCGCCGCCGTGCACACGACAGCTGAAAGGAACCGCCATTGGTCCTAGAGGTGCCCCTGGACTGAAGCTTTGGTTTCCTCCAAGGAACTCAGAGGCGCAGGCATGGCCGTCCCCTCCTCTTTTGGCTTTCCCAACAAACCTCTGAGGGAGGTCAGGCTGAGGATGTGTAAGTGGCCCGAGAGGTCACCCAGCAAGCCTCCGCAGGGAGTGGGGATTCGAAGGCCGCTCTCTCCGGTCCGAGCCTGACACACCAGCCACTGCCCTGCCCTGGCTCCCACGCCCCAGCGCAGGGAGACCGAGAGGGGGCGGCCTTCTCACCTCACGGCCCATCCTGCTCCCTTGGCTGCTGGGAGGCTGGGCGGACCGGCTGAAGCAGCACACAGAAGGGAGCACCCCTCCCGTCCCTGCCCCGGATGGAAACGGCGGAAGGTGTTCCCGGGCTCACAACCATCCATCTGAGGAATGTTCTGCCTGGAAACAGCCTCCACCAGCTTCCCAGCTTCTGGGACGAGAGGAGAGCCGGCGAAGAGGGGACAAGGCCACAGACATACCAAGAGGAGGCCCAGATGGCACCATGCCCTTCTTCTCTGCTTTCACTGCCGGGGGCGCCGTCTGGAGTTTGGCTGTGGCCTGGTCAATGATCCACTGGATGGTCCCCTCATCCAGACGAGGGAAAGGCCTCTGGTGCAGGCGCAAGTGGTGGCAGCCCTCGGCAGGCTTCTGCACTTTGTGCATCGTCACGGCAGGGTACGGGTTCTCCTGCGCCCAGAGAGCCAAAGGTCAGTTCCCCCCACACACCGCTAAGCCAGCAGACACCCCCCCCCAAGGCCTGCCCCCCCCGAGGCCCTCGGCTCCTCCCACCCCAGAAGGAACGGTGCGCAAAGGAGGGGGGGAGGCCGGGGGGGGCACACCCACATTCTTGTACAGCTGCTCTGCCAGCTCCTTGACGTGGCGCAGGACCCGAACCCGACTCCCTGCCTCTGCCTGCATCCGCTTGGCTTCGTTCGCCACCAGCTAGAAAAAAGGAAGGAGATGGCTGGGGGGGGGCGGGGGGGACATACGGCCTGCACCCCCTCCACGGCGCCCGGAACCACGGAGCCCAGCAGGCCTCTGACACCCTCTCACCTCGTCAAAGAGGTCGGTGGCCCGGTACGGGGGGCCTCGCTCGGTCACAAAGCCGGCAAACGCCATGCCCTCCAGCACCTTGGGGAGGAAGTCGTCTTCTACAAGTCCCCTCTGCCCGAGGAAGGCTGCCTAGAACAAGCGGGAGACCCCATGAGGATTCTCTGTGGGGAGAGGCACGTGTGGCGGAGGGCCCACAACCTCTGGGCGGCACGTCACAAGTCGCAGTCGACCCCCAGGCCCGAGGAGCTGGCATTCGCTGAAGACCTCCCCCCCACCCCCCCAATAACCCTAACCCACTCCTGCATCCCTCTGCGGGCACGCACGCACACACACAAAAAGAAATGTGCCTTCTGCTGCATGCCACAGCGGCCCTGAAGCGAAGGTTTCTGCCACAGCAGCGGGGATCTCTCTCCAGCATGGTCCCAACCGGTCAGACATTTCAACAAACAGAGGAGGAAGCCGGGGGGAGCACCTGCCCTGCTTCAAAGCGGAAAAATCCCACCCCCACCCCCACACACACTCTGGCACCAGCAAGGCTGGGCGGAGCCCCAAATTCGGCTGCTTCCTCCAAGCACCAGAGGATGACGGGCGACGGCAACCCTACGGCTCTCTGCCTCGGCCTGGCTCCTCTCCGTGTCCACCGGGCTGAGCCGCCTTACCTTGTGAAAACGGATGACGGGCTCCGGATGAATGCGGATGATGTGCAGGCACCAGCGGTAGCCTTGAAGCAGCTGCGCAAACAAGCGCAGGAAAACAGCCCGGATCTCCTTGTCCTGCAGGCCGGGAAGGAAGGAAGGGTCAAGCACTGGGGAGAGCCCTGCCCCTCCCCCAGGCCATTCCGTCCCGGTGTGAAGCCCCCAAAAAAAACCGGAGGGGAACCAGCAGCCCTCCTCTGTGGGCGGCCGCCATCAGACACCGAGTCCACTATCGCCCTCGCCAAATCTCCTGGTGATGCCAGGAGGCACAGAAACTGAACCCAACGAGGCCAAAGAGCTGCTGGCTGGGAAGGCAGAGGTGCTTCCCGCCTCTGGTGGGGGTCAGCTGAGCCACCACTGACTCAGCTAAGATCCACGAGTTTGTCTGGGACCAGCTTCCACCACCACATGACGCAACCTGACCACTTGGGCCTGCAGGCTTCTAAAACACGCGCACACACACGCGTCCTTCCACTCTCTCCTCCGCACTGGAGTCCTATAACCATCCCCAGAAGCCAGTGCTCTTCCACCACACCCCCTGCCGCCCCACACCCCCAGCCCTGAAGCCCGCGTGGCCCCGGCTCTCACCTGCATCTTGAGGGAGGAAGCGGAGATGGTGGAGGGGGGGAAGGCCAGGTCTGCAATCTCCAGCTCGGGGTCCAAGACCTGCATGCGGACAGGAGGGCCGTGGGGGTCAGTGGAAATCACGTAATTCTATGGGCCTGACTTCATTAGGTAGCCTGAATTAGTAACGGCTCCGTTGAAGCTCCTCATGACTTCCTAAACTAACATTAATCCGGCATCGGCATCCCCCCCCTCCCCATCTTCTGATGCAGGGTCAGCATCCTCGAGGCGTTATCCGGTTCTGGAGTGAGACGGAGAGCTCTTTGCCTGCCAGCGCAAACCCCAGGAAGCAGAACAGAGGAATTGGGACCTTGCCTCTAGCATCTAAGAACTAAATAATAATTTGTATTATGCTCAGAGGAACGTCACAAGTCGCAGTCGACCCCCAGGCCCGAGGAGCTGGCATTCGCTGAAGACCTCCCCCCCACCCCCCCAATAACCCTAACCCACTCCTGCATCCCTCTGCGGGCACGCATGCACACACACAAATAGAAATATGCCTTATGCTGCATGCCACAGCGGCCCTGAAGCGAAGGTTTCTGCCACAGCAGCGGGGATTTCTCTCCAGCGTGGTCCCAACCGGTCAGACATTTCAACAAACAAATCATCCGCCACCCTCCGCAGGCACCTGCACAGGGCGCACCCAAGCCTGCGGCCTCCAGAGAAGAGCGGCGGCGCCGCGTGGGGGGGGGGGGGGGGAGGGAGCAGGGGACAGAGGCTCCGCCAGTGTCTCAGCAGGAGGAGGGGAGGCCCCACCCGTGTCCAGAGTGAGCGGGTGTCCTCCCCCCGGGAGACACCCTCAGCCCCCACCGCTCACGCCTGGCCCTGGCGGATGAGTCGGCCTTCCTCACGGACAACCTCCCCCTGCTGCTGGGCTATCCCTCTCTCTGGACCTCCGGGAGGAAGGGCCCAGGACCCCGGCCTTCGCCCCCCGGCCCCCCACTCCTCTCCGAGCCATCCCGCCCATGGGCTGCGTGCTCTCGGTGCTTGGGCGGGCGGGCGGGCTGGGATCCCCCTACACCCCAGGCAGCATCCGCCCCATCAGGAAGCACCTGCCTCACACACCCAGAGGGCCGGCATCCACCTCACAGCACAACCCACCTCCTCGGGCAACACCCTTTCTCCTCAGACTGGGCAGAGGGGGCTTCGCTGCCGGCTGAGGACCCACCCCTCTCCCTGGCTGTGCAGGTGACCACCCCCCAGGCCAGAGGGGAAGGCTTGGCCACCCCCGGAATCCATCTTCACAACAACCAGGTGACCACCTCCCAGCCAGGCCCGAGGGGGAGTGTGGCGGGCAACCCCTCCAAACCCAGTCACCGGGGGAGGTGGGCAGGCAACTGCCTCCCGGGCCCGAGGAGAAAGGTCGGCTGCCATTTCCCCAGAGAGCCCTTTCCTGGGGGGGGGGGGCTGCTTTGGGGCGCCGCTACTCGCCCCACCCCGCAGCCAATCCTCACCAAAATGGAGGGCAGGAAGAGGGGCTGCCCAGGGAGGCCCTCTGCAAGTCTGATGCCTCTGGCTTGGAGGGAGTCCATTCGACACACTCCTGTACCCGCGGCTGCCATTTCCCCAGAGAGCCCTTTCCTGGGGGCACCTGCTTTGGGGCCTGTAACTCGACCCCCCTAAACCCAAACTTCACCAAACTTGGAAGATTTGTAGAGGAGAGCCAGCTGAAGACTCCCTGCGAGTTAGACGGGGGGTGGGGAGTGGGGGTGGCATTCTACCATGTCATGAACCTAACAAAATATGAACCAGTTTGTTAAATGGAAGAAGAGATTGGATTTATACACCCCACCCTTCACTCAGAGTCTCAGAGCGGCTTACAAACTCCTTTCCCTTCCCCTCCCCACAACAGACACCCTGGGAGGTGGGTGGGGCTGAGAGAGCTCTTTCCAGAATTGTCCTTGAGAGAACAGCTCTGACAGAACTATGGCTTGGCCAAGGTCATCGAGCAGCTGTAAGTGGAGGCGTGGGGAATCAAACCCGGTTCTCCCAGATTAGAGTCTACACACTTAACCACTACACCAAACTAGAAAGGTTCGTGAAGGGTCCGGAGCCCCCATGAACCACGAACCGGGACGAACCTCCATTTCCACTATTGTTTGCTTCTAAGAGACGGGCAGACAGTTTCAAAGTACATAAGCATCCTCAAAAAGCAATGAACATTCTAACACAAAATTGGTATAATAACTTTCTCCCAGAAAAACCAAATGGCTGGACATGTCCAAAGCACATGTTTAAGGGAAATATCTGTTCAATGAGAACCCTTTCTGACCAGTGTCCATTCAGCCTTCCTTTCTGGAACATTCCAAAAGAACAGCTTCTCCAGCTTCTCAGAGCTCGTTTACCACGGGCTCTGTCGTCGTCGTCGTCCTCCTCCTCCTCCTCCTCCTCCCCCTCCCCCCCCCACATATGGCTTAATACAAGATTATGCCTGCAAAGATTTTCACCCACACCCACACCCTCACCCACAGAGAACAACATTTCCCACACGCCAGATCAGCAACAATTCCCCAGCACAGGGCCACTTCCGGCACTTTGTGGAACAATTCCGAGGTGTGTGAAGAACAAACACCCTTGATTGATGGGGGGGGGGGGGGGGATAAGCCAGGGCTCGTTCAGGCAGAGACAGCACAAGGCGCAATATCCAGCTGCCCGGGGGCTCCCCGGTGACTCTCTGCAGGAGTCCTGCAGCGCCTCCTAATTCCCCCCACTGGCTCTGACCCCCATGCCAGAGTTCTGCAGGGGGCTGTGTGCTTACCATGGAGAGGGCCTCTCGTGTCTGATGGAGAAGCGGCTCAGGCAGCAGGGAGATGTGAATGCACTCAGGGACTGTGACCGTCCCACCATCCAGGTCTGCAACAATCACGTCCAACTGAAATAAAACAAGACAGCCATTTTTCAAACAAGCTAGGGAAAGAGCCAAGAGGAACAGAACACAGACCTGGCTGAGCCATGCTTTATTGAGTTATGTGAGATACTAACGGCCCCACATGAACCACACTAAAAAATTATTGGTCTGCTACTAATAGTACATCATTCTTTTGCAGTAAGTCAGACCGCTAAGACGCCAGACAGTAGCTCCTGGAGAGTGCAAGCAGGGGAGTTTCGTGTGGATGTGTTGCAAGAGGCAAGGAGGAGGTCAGTGTGTCTCTCTTTGGCTTGGGCTCTCAGTGGTCCGGGGCTGAAACAGCATCTCTGACTCCCAGGTCCAGCTCCTCCCTCACGGTCCCCGTGAAAGGGGCTCTTGCTAATTGAGGTGCGTCACCTGAGAGAGCCTACTAACGTGTGAGGCTGGGGGACGAGTCACATGTCCCAACCCTCAGGAGAGGCAATCAGAAGTCCAGCCTCTAAGGCGTCAGAAAGCAGCTCTTGGAGCCATGCGAGCAGGAGAGTTCTGCAGGGGTAAGGAAATTACACTGCTAAACATAGCGGGACGGTGCATAGTTCAGGTAAGCATCTTCCTTACCTCTGAAGCCTTTAAACAACCAAACCAGCTTTGAAGGGAGAAAGCAAACAGTGGGGTGGGGGCTACACAGAGGGGGCTGCATGCACGTTCAACTGCCCACTGGGCAGAAATTGTGGAGGTGCGCCTGATGCATAGAGCTCTTGGCTTTCAAGGAACAGGTTAGTTCCTTGAGGCTGGGGCTGCAGACCTGGCGAAGCGGACAGAGAGGGGGGGGGACGAGACCCTCAGGGACCTGGAGGGAACGGTCTCCTCCTGTGCTGGAAGTGGCTCTGACGTCACGCAGAGTGAGGAGGATGGAGGCCACCAGGCTGAGAAGGGCAAAGAGAAAAGGACTCCTCCCCTCTGCACGGTGAACCGATAGCCTCTCGCAGCGGGGCCAGCCCCCCGGGCTCCGGTGGTGGTTGGCTCTTGGCAGTGGCTGATTTGATGGTCAGGAATATAGAGCAGTGCCTGTGACAGGCATTTTGGCCACATGGTGGCTTATTCATGTATTTCTCTTTATCAGATTTATACCCCACCACTCCCTCAACATGTGAGGCTCAGGGTGGCTTACAACAAGTAAAATACAATTCGTTATACAATATTAAAAGCAGTAAGAATAATAACATGATTTGAAATCAGCAATATAAAACTCCTATTTAAAAAGTTGGCAGCATCCAAGAACCCAACAGCAAAATTATCCAGTGGAAACAGGAACTGCAAGACACGCACAATGACCCATTATTAAAGGCCTGCCGGTACAGCTCTTGTCTTGCGAGCCCTGCGGAAGCTCAAGAAGGTGCCACAGGGCGTGAGCCTTCCACTGGGACGGAGCCACCACGAAGGAGGCCCTTGCTCTGGTGGAAGAGGGGCAAGCCACTCGAGGGCCGGGCACCCCCAAAGGAGTGTGTCTGGCGAAGGCTGCGTGACGGCTCGCCTGCCTGGCGCGAGACGTTCAGACAGGCTGGTAAGTGTGGAGGAGGAGGAGTCAGCTGTCACAGTGCCGCTGGGAGACGTCCTCCTGTCAGGTCCTGGCAGAAGCACTTGGGTCCCCCAGTGGGCGGGCGAAGGCCAGGGCCTCCGGGGCAGCTCTCTCAGGACTGCTACCCGTTCAGTGACTAGGGCCAGCTAGAGGGGGACAGACCAGGGCACAGAGGAGAAGGGCTTCCCCTGAATTCAAAGGGTATCAACGCTTCTGGTGCTTCATGTCAAGGAGACGGCAAAGCAGCCGGCAAAGCTCGCCGCTAACCCCGGGGGGGGGGGGCGCCAACGGGAGCCGAGCGGGCCTCCAGTCTGGGGTGGCTCAATCATCCCCAAGGGATGAAGCAGGAAGCACACAACAGGCACCACCACGGCTGGGGGGGGGGAACGGGAACGGGGTAGAGTAAGGGGAGGGCCACGGGACGGGGCCTATTTACCGAATTATTTGTCTTACAAAATTTATGCTCCATCTTTCTGCCCTCTAACGGTTTAAAACATACATAATAAAATCACACCTTAAAAACTATTGAAAATCAACAAGAAACATTTGAAACAATGAAAACAAGAGATAAAATGCAGACAAAAGCATAAAAACCACCGTTCACACGCTGGGCAGGAAGGAAAAGTCATTGGGGGAACAGCAAACAAAAGGACATTCTTGGCCACCGAAGGGGACAGACGAGTCAGACCCCAGGGAGAGAGAGCAGCCAGAGTTCTGGCCACACGACGACGGAGAAGGGCCCCCCCCCTCTCCTGGGTGGCCGCCCTCCTGACCTAGGAAGGTGGGGGGAACCAAAGCAGGGCCCGGGCAGGTGGCCGCCAGGGGTCAGGTGGACTCGCAAGGGAGTCGGCTGCCCTTCCGGGCCACAGAGGGCTCTGAAAGTCAGCACCGGCACCCTGAGCGGTGGTGCCCAGGAGAGCAGGCTGGGGGGAGCCGGGTTCCTACGGGCCACTCCAGTCCGCATCCTGCCCCTAGCGGCGGAGGGATGGGGGGACCCTCCGCACGAGGGAAGCAAGGCACAGGGGTCTGCAGACCACCGCGCCGGAAGCCGCCAAGCCAAGACAGGAGTGCTGGAGGACTTGGTGCCACAGGATAATTTAGACAAGCGCATCCCTCTCAAAGGTGGTGGCCTGGAGAGGACCAGTGGGATGCAGTCATTCCTGGATACAAATTCTAGAGGCAGAACAGGGAGGGCGGTGCTGCTCTACGACGGATGAAGCAGGGGGTGGAGAGATGCCCTCCAGCCCGAAGGTCTCACCGATGTGCCCATGACGTGGGGGTAGCACTCTGGCCCTCTGGCCGAACCCTGGCTCACAGCTGGCAAAGAGGGAAGGGACACCGGGGGGGGGGCGGAGGGAAGGGAACAGACTGCTCCAGAGTGGGAGGGGAAGGGACAATGCCCCAAGGAAGCAAGAAGGAGGTGCTCTTCTCTTTGTTCTTCTTCCTAAGATGGGCACAAACCAGGCCCGTGGCTACAGTGGGGCACCTCGGGGCAAGCCCCCCCCCCCAGGCCCCCCGACTTCCCAGCCAGCTGGCTTATTTTATTTTATTTTTCACGCACACCATGGCCGTGCCGAGCGCTTGCCCTGCCTGCCAGCAGTGTACCTCTGGCTGGCTGCGGGTGAGGCACGCCACAGGGCACACCTGCTCCCTACTCCAGCCCTGCCTGTGAGCTTCCCTGGGGGCCTGGCGACAAGTGTCTGGACTCCACGGTCCGATCCAGCAGAGGCAAATCTGAACATTCCCATTCACTCGTTCACTCACTCGTTCATTCGGTGTGGTCTTGGGCATGCAGCATGCACGACCACCTGTGCGCATGTGTCTGTGTGCGTCTTGCTTTCAGTTATCCCCTCAGTGCTGAGTGAGAGAGCTGCGGCGTTTATCCCCCCCCCCTCTCCTTTCTAATAGCCTTTCTCCAATCACCCCTGGCTCTTAAATTTTTCTCCAGCCTTTAAATACTACTACTACTTCTACTACTACAAGAACACACTTCCTTCTGGCACTCTCGCCTCTCTCGTTGCTTAAAAATCCTCTGTGTGTGTGTGTGTGCCATGGCCTTGCCGCACCATCACCCCCGCCCTGCCCGCCCAGACTCAACGCTGTTCAGGGCAAGGGCAGAGTTTAGGGTCCAGAGGCCTGCCTGAGGCTTGTGCAGGCCGTGTGTGTGTGTGTATGTGTGTGTGTACGCCCCCTTTGCTCATCAGCCTTTCTTATCTCCTGAATGCTCAAAGCCGGCTGCTGTCTCAGAACGCACCACGCCTAATTCAGTCCCAGTTTCCAAAGGGCAGTCAGAGGGGAGGGCTATCCCCAAAGCATGGAGGCAGGCAGGCAGGCAGGCAGGCAGGCAGGCAGGCAGGCAGGCAGGCGCTCACCAGTTCCTGTGTCTCGGACTGAAAGGCCGAGCTGACGCCGATGATGAAAGGGGTGGGTGTGCTGAGAACCTCAAGGAGCTGAGCCGGCAGGATGGGAACATACGTAAAGCTGAAACCGAGAAACCAGAAACATGGCCTCATCCAGCCAAACACCATCCCGCCCCATGAGAGCCCCCCCCCAGGCCCCCGAGCCCCGCACCGCACCGCAAGCAGGGCGAGGGAAAGCCAGCCCCACCCCCCCAGCGGCAGCGGCCCGGGACCCCCCTCCCGCTCACCTGTACTTCAGGGGGAACATGAGGGACAGCAGGCCCCTGCAGGCCTCCGTCAGCCTCTGGTAGCTGCTGGACAGGAAGAGGATCTTGTGCTCCGTCAGAGCGGCACAGAAGAGGCAGAGCACGTTGGTGATCCCTGGAGAGGAGACGGGGACGGGGGACGGGCACTGAGAAGGCCATCCATCCAGGGCCTCGGCACCACGTCCAGGCGTCCGGCAGGGCCTCCCCAAGGGAGCTCAAGGAGGGGGGGGGGCAGATCTCCTGCCAGAGCCTTCACGGGCCCAGAACCTCGGCTGCAGCAGGGCTGGGGCCACCTACGGCAGCCAAAACACACCACCCCCTGCCGCAAAGCTTGGGCACGCTCACAAGACAAGAGGAGTCTCACGGAACTCATGGGTGCCCCCCGGCGAGGGCAGGAAAGAGGACCCCCGGGCAGGGGCGAAGGGCGTTCCAGAGAAAGAAATACTGGCCTGGGCCGGCTCTCACCAAGTTGCCGGAAGAGAAGGGCCACGCTGCAGTTGCTGACTGGCAGGGAGTCGGTGATGGGCGTCTGGATCACTTGCCTGTCGCCTGCACCCAGAGAGATGGTCCTCTACAAGAGACAAAGGACAAACCCGCAACCGGGACTCAGCCCGGCACTGGCAGCAGAGGGCCTGGAGCTGCCTCCCCCCACCCCCGGCCAGAAGACACACACACACACCCCGCTCACTCTCATCTGCCCGGAGCAACCAGACTCCTGCAGGGAGGGAGGGAGGGAGGGAGGACAGGGCCCCACCCCACCCCACTCCGACGGGCTCCCCGCCTCCTGGGCTCCCTGTCACTTGCACGGCCCCGCTGCCAGCGAAGGGGGTCCTGTGACGCGAGCACCTAGGAAAGACCCTGCCTCACATCCTCAGAGGAGGTGGACTCTCCGGGGGCCCTTGCCTTGCAACAGAAGCTGCTTCCGGACAGAAGGCAGACCCTGGGGAGGAGGCAAGTGCCCTTCTGCGGGCCCTCGGGTGCACGTTCCCCTTTCTGGAGCCGCCTGCCCCCCAACTCAGGTGCTCTGCTCTCTGTGCCACGCGGGGGCCGGGAGCTGCCTTCTCTCAGGAGGGGCACTCTGAAGGCCTCTCAACCCCCAAGCCTCCTCCTCCTCCTCCCAAGGAAGGAGAGAAAAGCCCCCCGGAGAGAGAAGAGGTGCATACCGCTCCTTCGTCCTCTGCGTCAGGCTGAGAGAGAGACAGACAGAAATCGCACAGTCAATTAGAAACACAGGGCGGCACACGGACAGGTGGCCAAGCAAGCGGGGAAAGACAAGCACACGCCAAGCAGCAGAGCGCCACAAGCCGGCAGCACCAGCAGCGGGGAGGCCTCGTGGCACAGCAGGAGGACAAGGAAAGAGGCACACAGATCTACCTGCCTGCCGCCGAGCAAAGCGGCAGCAGCAGCAGCGAAGCACCCAGCAGCGGCACACCTGCCTGCCTGCCTGCCTGCCCAGAGGGCGTCGCTGTCATGAGAAAGAGGAGAGGGGGCTGAGCCACAGAGGGAGGCAAGCGCCACAGAGACAAACGGAAGGCCACAAGCCAACAGCGCCAGAGGTGGGACCCTGAGGCCCAGCAGAAGAACAAGGAGGGACAGACTGACCTGCCTGCACCGCAGAGGCCCCAGCGGCTGCACGGAGCCCCTATCTCTACTCCCCAGTCCCCCCCCCCGGAGGGCCGCTGTCATCCGGTAACAGGACAGGCTGGCAAACCAGCGCTGCCCACCCCTGGAAGTGTTATACGGAGCATCTAGAAAGACAAGCCAAGATTCCCGGGGGAGGGGGCGGGGGGGCAGAGGCCTCGTTCCCAAACTCACGGGCTGCAGGACACGGCCCTGAAAAGGGGGGAGGCTTGTTGCGCCCTTGGCATAGCGAACACGGCAGCATGCTCTCCTTACCCTCCGCAGCTCCCTGCTCAGCACGCGCCTCTGGCCCGTCCCGGTCCCCCCACGAGAAGCCAGCAGGTGGCCCCTAAGGCACACGGAGGGAGGAAGCGAGGCCCCCCCCCTCCACAGGGCACGGCAGGGCCCCCAGGGCTGAAAGGCAACCGGATGCCAACGGCAGGGTGGAAGGAGAGACCCACCTGGGTACCCCCCGTGATGGGGATGGTGCAGGTCAAGAGGCTCCCAATGACGGTCTCCAAGGACGTGCTCAGCCCATCCACGTAGATGGTGTAGATCAGCCCCAGGCAGTTCTGCGGGT